TAAGTTATCTGTTTCATTTATTTAGTTCTCTCTGTCTTTTTCTCCCACACCTTTGTTTCCGTTGCAGTATTATTCCATGATTAGGAAATCCAAAATCATTAGGACTGACAAAATCACACCAACAAACCATATAAACTATAAGTTCTACTGAGTACCCAACGAAGGATTAAGCAACGATCACTGGCTACACTAGTCAGTATTATTGGAACACAGTACTGCAGAGAGATGTCAGATACTGCAGCCACTTACTGTTGATGGCTGAGCAACAAGAGTAGACTGGATAGACCTTAGCAAGGTTTCTATGTTTGAAAGCAAATGCTCACATTCTCCTTTTTTTCGTATGAAATATAATGTCAGTTCTAAACTAAATGGGTCTTACATAAATCTGAGTCCTGTTATGATCTTATATTGCGAATAGCCTTTTCACTTACCAATATTTAAATATCGGTTTTAATTTTATAAGTAGATTTAAGTAATATTATAGTAATTTAGTCTTGAGTATTTTTATTTTCATATAAGATAACTTCTTCATAATACTTATTTTTGATCTCTTCACAAAAAAGAGGCTAGATCTCTCTTCTTTTTTTTTTATTATTATTATCTTACTCATTTTATCTCCAAAAATTTAAATTACATACATTTGAGATTAGTATGCTCCATTGTCTTGTTTTTTTACAATAAATTTTATTTTCTAAATATTTTGTTTTAAAGACTCTTATTTTTCTGTTAGACAATATATACTAAACCCTTATTTCCTATATCTTTTCGTCCTTATTTTATATGTCACAACACAGAAATACTTACAACTAACAACTTCAGTAATACAAGTAATATAACTAATTTGGGAACTACACTATAGATTGTGTTAATAATATTAAATTTAAAAGTAGCAGTAGCAGTAGCACCGCAGTCAATATCGGGTATTAAAGAAATACTTAATCCTCATAACAGATAACTATGATCTAATATAAATACAATGGGAAAACTGGTTGCTTTCTTCTGTCATTTTTAAAATCTTGTTGAATGAAAATATTTTCTTTCTTCTTCAGAGGTTCTATTGATTACTTTGTTCTAACAATTTACTCTGTTTTATAGTTTATATAGATTACTTTATTCTATGTTATTGACTTTCGTTTTTAGTGAATTGTTCATTGCTAACAAACAAATATGCATGTCCTTTTAGTTTTATACGAAAAATACACATGTCAAACTACACCATGAGATTGCAATATCCATCCACAATCAATAAAGAACTCAGTTTTCATCGTCCGATACAATCACCGTATCGACGAGATAACGTGTTATGCGAAATCATGTCGACTAGTTAAAAGTTTTTTTCAACGATTATTATTATAATCGTTTAACGTTTACTTCAAGATGAATATGAGTTCGAAAATCTGTTATAGACAATGCACAAGACATCATCGTTGTTGTTGCTAATTTGAATTTTTTTCACTTCCATGTTATTCTTTCCTATTTTTCGCTTCTCATCTCATCATTTTTTATTGAGAAGAAAAGAATAACAACAAAAATCTGACAACTATAGCAAGTTAATATAAGTGCATATAGAGATTGACGAATAAATTCACCGTGTGTGGGGTTTAGAAAAATCCATAGAAAACTCCTGCTCAATGTTTAATGTTTTCGATTCTCAAAACAAGAGCTATATACCAATAACTTCGAATTTGTATTAGAGAATGTAAAGTAATTTCTGTTTGATATGCTGTTGAAAAAGTTTGTATAGAGACTAGGAATATATGAAAGTATATGGGTATTTGTTGGAAAAATTCGGCAATGATACTGTGGCATAAGGAATAGATCGCGCGTAAATCGTGTGCAATATATAAGAATAGTTTTTTATATATACCTAGACCAATTATTCTTTGTATATATATAATAAATATTATATTGTATAATAAATAATAAATAATAAATTTTGATTTATAACTGTGAGTGAGAACGAAGTATCTTTGTGTTCATGATTCAAGTACTTAGTCATTGCATTAAAAATTTCTGTGAACTCAATTTGTTATTTTTATTTTTTATAATTATATTAAGTATTTTTATAGCTTTCAATTAAACATTGTTTATTTATTTACAAAATTTTGCGTTTTTTTTTATTAAATATTCGCCCCACTTATTTTTGGTCTTACAAATATGCTTTTCCGAAATGGTTTTCTTAAGACCCTTTACTTGATATGAATTTAAGATTCTGCATAGGCGAATTTTTTTTAGTTTTATTCACAATTTTAGTTGATTTTTTCAAATTTTAATTTTCTTTTAATTTTCGGAAATATATTTCAGTTTTTCGCGACTTCCATAAAAGTACATGAAGCTTCACTATTGACAATGCTGAATTTCTTAGAACCTTATGCTCTTATTTTTCTGGGAATTTTTTAATTAAGTTGGCGGCAAAAAAAAAAATACAAACTGAAAATTAATTTTTGAAACTGAAACATATACACACGCAGGGCAATGCTACTGTGAGATAATTTCCACTTTTCAGCATTTCTAGCGTTACTAGCGTTTCTAGCGTTTGTAGCGTTTATAGCGTTTTTTCTGCGATATGTCAGAAACCGCTTAGGTTGCTTATAATTTTATTTACACGCACAATTTTCCGACCGCCCTCACAATTCACAGTTATGAAGCGCGTATGTAGCGCGCCTTCCATCGATTCCAATTCTGAAACTCAAGACTGCAGAACGAGCGATATTTCGTGCCGACACTCAACGATTTCAAACCAAACAGCGCAACGTTTTCTCATAGACTGAAAATTAATTCCAAAGGCGAGCGGCGCACCCGCGAGTCACTTTTCGTGCAACAAAAAAAAAAAAAAAAAAAAAAAAAAAAAATACTTATAGCAGCATTTGTATATCAAGATAGACAGACGGACAGATAGACAGATGGACGGACAGACAGACAGACAGACAGACAGGGGAATCGACAAATATGCTATTTTGGCTGAGCAGTCAAAGTTGCTCAGTGCTTCCATTGTATCTAGATACTTTTTGTGGTTGGTGTGCTGTGCTTCCACTTCGGCAACGTGGAATTGAATTTTCTTCGCTGGCTGGCGTGTTGCTCCTTTCCTTGCTTTTCTTTGCATTTCATTTTCATTTACATTTCGTATGTAAAATTTTTTATTATTTGTTTTTTTTTTATTCTCAGTATTTTTTATGTACATTTGATAGTCTAAATTATCTGCGAAATATTATTTCGTTATTTGTGTGTGGAAAAATATTGAAGAAGTTGAAATTCCCATATGCGCGCAAGAGGAAAACTTGCTCGCTTGAAGAGCGAACGAGGCTCCGCATTTGTAGATCGCGGGCTCTGGCTCTGCGGTGAGATCAATGTTTCGGTTTGTTTTTGTTGAGGACGGCGGCGGAGTATAGCTGCCGATTGTTGGACTGCATGCAAACATTTGTTGTGTCCACAAATGAATTCATTACGCGCTCCCATCCGATGCCATCCGCTACCATCCACTATCCGTGCTACAGATATTCTGAGCACATGTTTTCGGATCGTTCATGTTTTTGTTTTGTTTTACTCTTTCGTCGTCGTCGCCCGCATTGAAGATGATAATTATTTTATTTTTACGCGAGAGTCGCGGATGCATCGCAGTATCTTTGTCGTTGTCGTTGTCGTCTTTATCCTGTTGTTCTGCTTGTTCTTGTTGTGGTTGTTGTTCTTTTGTTGATTTAAACTCTGAATTCTGTTTTCATTCTTCTTCTTTATTATTTTTATTAAATTGCTTGTTGATGCAGTATTTCCCCTCGTACAAATAAAAAGAATATAAAGAAATTATGATGGATCTTTTATTCGAATGGGGTGGCAATAAGTCTGTCTACCGACAGAACGCGTAGAGCAAAACTATTGAGACTAAGAAAATAGGTGAAAGGGTCACCTTCTTACAGGATTGTGTCGATAAATATGGTTAACGCCATAACCTATTGGTTAACATCAATTCACAGATGAGTGAGAAAAGAGGTTTAAAAAGCAATCAAATGTGCCCTTGTCGACACTTACATTAGATTGTTGTCCATATTCCTGATGACTGCCAATAATTTTTTCAGAATGATGCGATGACCAACTTTATATCATAACTTTGATACGATAAAAACATTAAAACTTTTATAATATATTGTTCGTAAACAATTATTTGTTTATTATTCTCTTGCTTTAATGTTCCAATACAATAAATAAATAAAATCTAACTACAGAGTTATCGCTTATACGAAAATGTCGAACATCAGTATTAACAGTATTAAAGAATACGAAGTACACCGATAGGACTAGTAGTGCAAAATTACTAACACTAATGAAATTGGTGAAGGAGTTACATTCTCACAGGTTTGCGTCGATAAATGTAACATATGATGGCGCAGGTTCAAAACTCTTTCAAAGGTCGACACCTATTTATAGAAATTTAGTTTTTGATTTAATGAAAATTTGGAGCTTTTTTGTTCCTAATATAAAATAAGCTATTAACCAGATATTCTAGGATATTTAGATTGATCTCGGTATTCTTTATATAATATTTTTAATTGGTTTAAAGAGCTTGGTTTAAAGAGCTTGGTTTAAAGAGCTTGGTTTAAACGATTCTATGGCTTATATTGTCCACACAATAGTATATTGTCAAACCTTATTTTGTTAAAATGTACTTTTAGCAGGTTAACCAAGAAAAATTTTTCTTAAAACTTTAAATAAGTCATCTTATAACTGATATGAATATATTTAAATTTAAGTATTCAATATATATACTTACCCAATATATAAAGGAATTAGTTTTCCCTTGTAATTACAAGTGAAAAGATATTTCGCAAATAAGGAGATTATAACCCCCCTACGGTCTTAGTTTGCTTTCAAATTACTTTCTAGAGCCTCTTTATTCTTGAAGATGTTAAACTTTCTTCAGCAATAAGAAACTCTTTTAATCTCATAATCTTTCAGATATTTGAACTTATTAAACCCTTTTTATTTGCATTAAAATCTTCTAAATGACACAAACATTCTTCTATAAATACAACATATCAAATAATTTGAAGTAGCCCTTCAATCAACCTTGTTAGAGCATTTCCGAGAGATAGAAACTCGTGGAGTGGTGGTTTTTGTTAAATGGAACATGAACACACCTTTTTTTGGCATTAAATTACTTTTAAGGTTTCCTCGTTTATTATGCATAATTTCATTATTAAGAGAGTAGTGCAAACCCAGTAAACATCTTCATTACCTTATACTCTTTTGTGGTATATGGAATCATAAATCAAATGAGCTCCCACATTTCCATAACCTGAACTTGTTAGTTTCGCTTTTGAAAACGCGGTGTGAAATGAAATAAAACCCAAAATTGAAAATAAATAAAAAAGTGCTCTTTTTTCCATCGTAAATATGTTTATAGATTAAACCGCAACCCTTGTTGAAATCATAATTGGTAGTCCGTCCAACTCCTTTTCGATTTCAAACGACTTCAGTGCACGCTTAAATCCTGCAAATAATGAAATAGATTTGAAGACTTGTGTAAATATGGAACGTGGCACCTTTTAAAAACAGTTTATTGTTACCACGCGGCCATCGTATATGGTGAACCGCAACGCAAGGGAGTGCCGAGTAGTTGCACTTGAAACATTTAAAGAAAAATACCAACCGTTTGGTGGCTGTTGCAGCTGCGTGTCTATGAATGCATTCACTTTTAGGAACTGGGTTAGGCCTAAATGTGTTGCACTTATTGCTCTTGGGAAATCGAATTGGTCGTTGACAAAATGTTGTCCGCACATTTATTATTTCAACTATTCAAATGCATCACTGACCATCTCTTTGCATACGGAAAATACTGAGCGGATAAGGTTTCATATATCACGAATATATTATGGAAACAAAATTGCATTGAGAGGAAGGAAAACAGAATATACAGCGAAGGTATATATCTTTTGAGTATAGAATTTAGGATTTAGAGCAAAATACTTGTTTTACTTCATGATCATGAGTAGTACTTCATGATCTATAAGAGATATTATGATTTGTCTGAGTAGTGTTACCAACCTGACCCCCAATCAGCAAATAGTGAGACTATAAGTGTTCATAAGAAAATCTTTTAGTTTAAGTTTTTAAGTCTATTTTTTGAAAGTACTAGTCTCGTTTTTTGACATTCCCTGCAAATAAGTAAAATGGATAAGTGAATGCTTTATGTGACAGAATCACTTAGTTTCAACTTTAAAAACTGGAAATGGCATGGAAAATGTGTAACTAACTGTATGTAAAGCCATTCAGATCAATCGGTTAGATGAAAGTACTGGGTGAAGTGTCCGTGGGTGCAAGTATAACTTTATCGTTTTTAAACACTACATACTAGTATCCATACGCGTTCGATAGGTTTAATCCATTAATAACACAAGTACATTTCTATTTGAAATTAATAGGAAAATTTGGAACAGGTAATGGCTAAATTACATTGCACTCCATGTACACCGGGGCTGCTGCTCTACAGATTTTTGAGTATTTGTCTATCAGTGAATCAAATGTATGATGGTGCTGAAAATGGGTGCTGAAAAAAATTATTCTTGCATTTTTTTCTATGCGAAATTTCTATCTTAAAGATTTAGAAAGGAAAACTGACTTCACGTAGAATATTTAATGTGTATATGGCTGGGTTTCTTATAGCTGTTTTTAACAGCAATAGAAAAACATACTATATTTTTTCACTAAAGCTATATGTTTTAATAAAGTTGCCATAATCTTGAAGTACAGTTTTCATAGCCTATTGTTAATCCTTCTCTAACTCTGTGCCAAATTTTTCATGTAAAAAAATTCGTTTATAATAATGATTTTTTTATATTTCATATCCGGCCTATTTTTGGTGACCTATTTTTTTATTATTATCAGGATCAGGATCTATAAAGATAATTATAGCAATTTTTATAATATAAAAATATAATTATAATTTTATAAATTTTTATAATATATATAATGTATAATTAAAGCAAAGAATAATTTATAATATATTTTTTTGGTTTATAGATAAATCTTCCACTACTATACCGATTTGGAGACCCTAAATGACTTTTATTATACCAACCAAAAAAAAAAAATACAAAATTTATTACGTAAATAAATTAAATATAAATTTGTTTTTTAATTTTCTGATTTTAAAATGAAATTAAATTGAAAATAATTAGTTTAGAAGCGCGGTTCACTGCACGCCGTGAACTTTTTTCTGTTATTGTTCCAATAACTGAAATTACAAAAAGTGAAAGAAACGAAGTTAATATTTTGAAGTTCTTTTGAACTCGTGTGTGTTTTATTTGAAATAAGATAACATTTTGTTCGAATTGTTTTTTTTTAATTTTATTTCTTTTTAAGCAGTAAAAATTAATAAATTTAAATTGACACATTGACAGCTCAGCCGGCGCTCAAAACTTCTCCTGTTGCACATGCCGTTCCGTGCCCGCACAACAACCGCTAGGGTTGTTGTTACTGTTCTTGGGTTCTCAAAACCAAACTTCTAGTACCGCTGGTACGCCATGTGAAGAGCGACTGTCGCTGCGTTGGAAAATCGGAGAAATGAGGGTGAAATTTAGAGAGTTTGCGGAGTGAAATGTGATTGTATGAGAAATTAAATGCCCAATTAATTTCATATCATGATTATATCTTGTCAACCGTGGGATCTAATAGTAGAAACATATTTTGAATAAGGGAAGTTATTTCTTAATGGGTACATATTTATCTACATTTAGGTAAATTATTAATAAACTAAATATGTATATGTAATGTCGACGCAGACAGTATTAGTTAGAAATTCTTTAACTATATATAGTGTATATGTGTGCAAATGTGTCAGAAGATACGTTTTTCATTATTTGAAGAGTTGAAAGATAATAGATATTCTCAGTTGAATCTTATATTTTTTTATCTAATGAAATCTAATCTAATACCGACTTTCAAACAGACAAAAAATCAGTTAAAACGATGTTGCTAAATTAGTGTTCATCTTATGAGTACACACATATATATCCTTACATATAAGTCATACATATATTCTATATGCTCCAAAGCGATTTCTGTGTTATTTCCATTTATTTTCAGTATTATAAACAAATATAATTTATTGACAGTATAATGTAGGATACGATTCTTTCGTTTATTTAGTATAACTAATAACATTTCTACTAACAACGGGAGAAGGACGCGAGGTAGACAATGACGGTAATCTTCATGGTGGAAAAATTCGATATGATTCAGCTGACCTACGTGGTACTGTAAGTAGTGGTGTGTGTGCTGAAGCTGGTGGAATAAGTACACATGAGGAAGTTGACGAATAGGCCATTAAATCTTATTATAACGAACCCGTACCCCTTTTTCGCCGTGCAGAACGCGTTCAATCCGAACATGATGAACTCATCATGACGTACATGCTCAAGGAGAGAGTTTGTAAGAGTCTTAATTGATTTTTGTATTACTTGTACAAAAATTGTTTTTCATTCCTAGGGAGTATCGATTATCAGTGAACCAGATGAAATTTATGTTGCTAATAAATAATATGCAGACTACAAGCAGACTAGACTTAAAACCTTAAAACTTTTAATATGGTGGAATAATATTTTACAAACACTCAAAAAGTGTGGGACTTTGGACATACCTGTACATCGGAATGATCAAAATCGAATTCCGTATCGAATCCTTAGTTGCCATATAAATTGTACAATTCGAAACAATTATACCTTACTACATATTGAAATGTTTAGTTATAAGAAAGTATTTATTTTATAGGTAATAGAGATAATGCAAAATATATAAGGAATATATTATGTATAAACGAAATAACTACATATGCAGAAATAAGATCCAGTAAAGTAGGTTTAATACCAGTAAGTGTTTGAGAAAATTGGACTAATACTTTGAATTCATAAACGAGGTGCAGTATTTTAATTTAAATCCTAAGCGAAAATTTAGAATATTTAAAATAAGAATAGGAATAAATTAATTTTTTATAATAAAGTGTGTCATCTATTAAAATCACCAATAAAACGGAATTTTACTTCTTCTAGCTACAGTGTGAGACTTGAACCCACTAAAACCACCTCTTAGGACTGAATGGAGAAGATTCTCAGAGTAATGTGGAAACTTCGTTATACTAAACAGGTGAGAGAGAAAGTAGATAGACTTAATATCGAGTGAACTAGGTTCATCTAATTTTACTTCTTCTAAAAACTGTATGGAGAACGTATGGATGTACTTCTATTGCCATACATATGAGCGAAAATATGTATGTACTCGTATACGAGTAGTAAATTATTTAATTTGATGAGTAGTTGCAATAAAAAGATTTACACAAGATGGGGCAAAAATTAATTTACTGAGGTCGCTTTTAATCCTCTTTTTTTAGCTGAAATAGAAATTTATATAGGGTGCTGCCATCCTTTCCAGCTGAGAAGAAATTAAGTGCATGGCTTATAAGCACTTCTGCGTTTAAGTGGAGGTTTTTTGCTCTGTCCACGTCTTCGTGAAGCGCTAATCATGCGCAACAACCGCTGCGCTTCTAATGAAAAATTTAATTTTGGAAGAAATTCGTCGAAAATCCAAAGCGGGTGTGTTCGATCTTTATTTAGCAATTTATAGATGTAATATTAAATTGAGTGGTGATTCTTCTATTTTTGTATCTTAATTGTTTGGTTTTATGGGTTTTTTGTTTTTAGATACTCGTATTTTTAAAAAAATAATAGCGCACACTCCAAGCTGCGGATGCAAAAGTAGTAGCCTTAAAAATGTTTTTGTGCTCGTCTTAATTAAGGGCTTTGATAAATTCACTTTAATTGATTAATTTTGTTGGTTTCATTAATTTATGTTATCGCAACATATATATACTAAGTTTGAATTGTTAATAACAATTAGAACATGAATTTAGCGCGAAATTACATTATTGACGAGGAGTGCCAGTTAAACACACCATAAAATTGTAAATAATTGTCAGAGTTTCAGATACGCTTGATGTGTTCTTTTAGCTCAAGTGAGGTTGTATATATTTGACTATGAGATTAGATTACAAAATGCGTCGATTATTGCAAATTTTGAATAGATTTACATATTAAAGCATAGAGAAAAATAACATCTTTAGTCCATCATTAGTACCTAATTCCACCTTATAGTTAACATGTAGTCACTTAGGGTGCTTAACTTGGGAGTGAAGATGCTGTCGTTAGTTTGGAAAGAATATACTACCAAGATCCACATATCTGCCTTGTAATCGTATAAATAGGTTTAGTATAATACTGACTTGTTAGCTAATTTTATCAGCTAGCTTATCAGCTTGCATTGTCTTTTGTTTATTTGTTAAGCACAAGGAGTATTTGCTAATCATCATAACGCAGTGTTTTGAAATATCTGACGATGTCGTAAAAAACAGAGCGTCCGTATAGTAATTTAATTTAATTACTTAATTTAAAAATAAGTTAATATAAAAATAAACTTAATGTTTGTTATTCATACTCAACTTTTGTTGGAGATTGTTGGGCCAATGGTCAACTGAATGACTGAAGTTTATCCTGTCCTCAACTTGAGCAAAGTAGACTTGCGAACATACACCGATATTAAGTGATGTCACCCCGCTCTTATATGGTCTATCTATTTAAATATTATTTTTTTTTAATTGAACTTCTATTTCTAATACGTCGATGTTTATGTAGGCTTTCAGAAAAATATAAATTTATAGATTTTTTTCGCTTCTATAATAACGCAAAATTTTTATTTTTTTGTTTTTGTGCAAGGAAATTTGCATGAGTTCTGATATAACATAACATTATCATCTATATTTTTCTTCTAATCTTAACTTCTATTAGGCCTTTCTTTGTTCTTCTTATTTACTTTATTTAGCAGTTGGTGCAAGTAGTTGTAGTTATACTGAACCCATTCTTCAAAATGTTGTAAATTTGGACTTAATTAGATTTAGATGATTCCATTGTTTACGATTATCTGTCATAAACGGTGTGCATTTAAGTACAGAAACGTAACATCTAAAAACACGGTTATAATGTTATATTTAGTTGTATTCATTTATCAATTTAAATTTATTTATTTGGTATATCATAAAAATAAAATAATGTTTTACCAGGACACCAAAAAAAAGTTTTTGTATTTGTAGTAGATTAAAAACATGTCGCGGGCCGTACAAAAGTTAGCTGCGGGTCCGCGACAGCCCCGCTCTACACACATATATTAAAAAGTGCAACGGAACCAAAAACATGACGAAAGTATATATTTTATTAATATTAATTAATGTTTATTAATTTGTTCTTATCCTGATGATGAATAGAATATGTCCTATTGAATAAATTTTGTTTTGTAGACCATTTCTTTATTCGAAGTAAATATTTATCACCGGATTATTCATTTGAGGTTTATAAAATTGCTGTGGGAATTGCATGTTAATAGCACCCACTTTGGAGAGAGTTCAGTAATGCACTTTGTATAATTGACTACCTTTATCATCGACACTACTCGCTGAAGAGGGGGTGTTTTAGTTCGTATACTACATATTAATGTTAGGGAATCGGACACACCATTCCACCTCTTCACCACAAAAAAAAAATCATCCACTCTACTACTATACTATCTTGAAGAGAGAGCAGTTTTTCGTTATTAGTTTGGATTAGGTACATAAAATTTTTGCTGTGATTCGTTTCTTCCTTCTCGATGAATATTATACCATACATGTTTACAATATAGATGATATATAGTCATTCTGGCGAGTAGAGATGCTATTCATGTTATTACAGCTATTAATTGGTAGGAATACATTTATTTTAAGTCGATATTTTTAAAACCTTTAACAGATCTATCTGAACGTATACAATTAACAGTGTATTGTGTTATTATTTAGAGTGTATGAGTATGGCACATATATACATTTGTATAAGTAATGTATTTAGTATCAAATACCTCTTTTCAACTAGATTGTTGAAGTTAAAGATTTATTTCTTATTTTCCATTATACAATATAGTACCTTAGTTTATTTAAAACATGCTAGTTTACCGTTTCTATAAATTTGGAGTAAACAAGTAGCAACAATTTGAAGGGCGATGAGTTGATCATGCCATTAAACCGTTTCTCCAAATTTATGGAAGCAGTTTACAATTATTGTTTTAAAGGCAGGGGCGGATTAAGACGATTATGTTTCATATATATATTCAAATACATTACATATGTAATTTATGCAATATTTTGAGATAAAACATTTTTGTCAACTTAATCAAAACTGAAGACAACAATCGCAGCAAATCCAGAAGATAAATTTTAAATTGATTTGTTCGTGAAATTTTAAACAAGTCAACGACTTCACATATTTATTAAATTATTTGTTCTGTTAATTTGAGGTTCTTATCTTTTTGAGATAAAAAATTATATCTGTTATTTTGTTGTACTTTAAATCGCAAGTAATTCAAAACAAAAAGGTGCAATTGCACTCAAAGTAATAAAAGTCGTCGCATTTGCAAGTTATTAATTTTTTTGTGATTTTATAATGTTTGTGACAATAAAAAACTGGGTCTGTGGTGAGATATATTTTTATAATTTTCCTTGTAACAAAGAACACAAAAACAACATTTAAATAAAAAATTCAAATTTTTTTATATTAATTTTTATTTTAATCTCGCTAATCAATATTAATGCTTCAATATATTCGTATCTTAGCAAACCACTCACTCATAAATACTAAATGTTCCTGGAGCTGGAGAGCTGGAAAGTATTGAAGAGATTTGGAAGACATTGTTTTTTATAAATAAATAAATTAATATTGCAATATAAATCTTTCGGTATATAACTCTTTCTTTATTTCTAATCTTATCCAGTTTTGATTTAATTGAATCGTTCCGGTTTCATTCATAAATGTTTCGTGAATTTAATTCCACAGTTTCAAGACCGTTCTTGCTGCTGTGGCAGGAAGATTTTGCACACGATTATAGCTACCAGTTGGAGTAGATATTCCATTAACGTGCGAATTCATGCTGTTTAACAGACTTACCAACACTGGTTACAGGCTCCTTGGGGAGGTGTGCAGATCTGAGGTCAATTATTAGTCTGATGAAGTGATAAAGAATAATCATAGTCAAGGCGTAGAGAGGTGGGTTTTGAAGATATCTCGAGTTAATAAAGAGTAGAAGTGATCAAATGCACTGGATCAAATAGCTTCAACATAGTAATTTAGGTTGATGAGTGAGTGACAAGCTCATAGTGTTGCTAATTTCTTGCTTGGTATTAATTATGATTCCGTGTGTTCCGCTCTTGTTTCTGTGCATCTTAGTGCGTTATCTTAGTATGTATTCCAGTGACTCAGTTTTTCCATTGCAGAATTTGTACATAAGATTTGATACAATACCTTTATTGCCCAAATACGAGTACTCATTGATCCTATGATTGCCTATATTTCAATACACATCAATGTGCCACAGGTATACCTACTTTACTTTCTGCTAAGCATATTGACGTAAAGTAATAGCTTGAAAAGCTTATAAAAGTTTGAACTGACTAACTAGCTAACTTAACTAAATGTTTTTGGTTATTTTATAGAAGATGGACGGCATAAAAGGACAACATGCGGTATGTAAACTTAATAAAACCACTTTTTAGGGCTTAAAAATGAAGATACCTGTTATTGGGATCATGAATGAGAGACTCAAAATAAATAGTTTAAACGTTAATAAATAATAACTTG